ATCACAGCATGCCATTAGTATCCGCAATAATCCCATAACTGGATATAAAAATGATTGCTTATTAGCAGAAAACGGTCATCCCAGTATTTAAAGGTCGTGGTTTGTATAACATTTCATGCCAGCCTTACATAATTCCATTGTATTGTATCTGAAAATTAATCTATCGTCAAATGAATTATCTGAGGCGTCAGTGAAAATGTCACGGTAATACTGATGTATTTGAGTGACGACGATGAGCCATGCTGATACGCGCTCAGATCTAGGTATCTGATAATACTATGACAAGACACGAAATGTTAAAAGGATTCGTGGCAGGTTGATGAGTTACAAAATGAGCTGCATGATGACCAGTTAACCGAAGGCAGAAGAGAATGCTTGGTTTTTGGTTTCATATTTGGTTTACTTAGTCGTGGTAGGGTACAATTATAAGAATTTAAGGTAGCGAGACTATTATTTGTGTTGAAAATTACGATTTTGAACATGTATTTATTAATTGATTAAATGCACTATAAACTTTCATATGATAAATTCAACATACCATAGAATGTCATGTAAGTTGGTTAAAATGTAGATTTTCTGAAGGTAAGCAAGGCAGCCTCCGTAGTGTTTTGCAAAATCAACAACACAGGTTTAATCTGTGTGCCTATAAGTTTCAAAGATAGACTCAAGACAAAGCAATGTTAGGATATGTTATCAGTAGCTATCTGACACACAATGAGTGTTTCCAAACATGTGAGTGGTTTGTCCCCACCCCTGTCAGACACAAGGTCACACAGCCACTAAAAAAAATCACTGATTTTGGTGTTTTCATCTGCCGATTTTATCGAATTATAGCTATCCTATTCCTTTATTTTTTTAGTTTCCAATAGCCTTACACATTTGGATGCCCCTACACATGTTAAAGCAGACCTTGATGGGGAAACAAATTGCTTGTGCAGATAAACAAGCTTGAAAATCATTGCTGTGACTTCATGGACATGTTCTAGGAGTTTATATTTTTCAAAATACAAGGTCTTTAATAACAAATAACGTATACTTATTGTCGTCAGATTAACATCAAATTTTCACTGCTTTAAGATGCCAGTGAGGGGAACTTGAATGTGTCCAGACAAACTATTTCATGGATTATTTACCAATGTGTTGTGCTTTGAGTTGGGGGCAATGCGACTAAAACAGAAATTAAAATTCAGCACACCACTTTTTAAAAAGCGTTGCTTGAATAAAACTGACCAGACACATTCACTTTACCAGACTATTGAACAACTAGGAAAAGTGATAAAAAAAAACTTCTTATCACCAGCATAACTGTGTAATTATTTTTTTTCACAAAAAAAGTATTTTTGAAAAGCTTGAAGTCTGGCGATTCCAAAAATATATACTTTCCTGGGCCTATTTGTAGTCATTTGGTCACAATTAGAAGATGAAAGCAAGTATGCAAATAATAGTCCCGCTACCTTAAGCGTACAACAAAGGACTTAATAACGTGTGTATTTCGAGTCCAGAGACTCGTGTAATACTCTCTTTGCGTTTCGGTATTTACCGTCATGGCTTATTTTGGTGGCAGAGCTATCTAATTCCCTTCACCTTGCAGGAATTACAGAGCATTGCATATACCACAGTTAACGCATGAAACAGCATACCCAGGGTGTGTGCGCATAAAGTTCGTTCCGCCGGCAGTCAACAACAATAATTGCACTATTCTGTCCTCCGCTGTATGGCGATACGCCCTTTACCATACCTGGTTTTATTTTGATATAAGATGTGGAAAACCTTTATACTATTTGGATTGAGTAAATGGCCACATTAATTGACATGTGTCGAACAGATTTGTTAGTAAAGTCGGTTAGACTGGTTACTAAACTATGCAACACTGTGGTGTGTTTAAAGTAGTTTAAACAGTAGTTTGTCAAAGTTCATATCCTACTTTATTCAGTGTTTATTCAGTGTTTATTCGCAGTGGTCGTCATCGCACCTCTCTGTGGTTCCACATGGTACCCCTAACGACGTATACAACGCGTGTAAAACTAGTACACGTACGCGTGTTGATTGTCGAATCGTGAATCGTAAATTCGTGGCATGCACAGTCGTGCGCCTCGAATCGTCACGTAGAAGGCGTGGACATTTTCTGCTAACTGTCTACCACTTATAGTTCTAGTTGTATACTGCAAAGTTGATATTTCTGCCAACCAGCGCGCGAATATCCGATAACAATTGTCGCACACTGATCAGCACGAGCTCGCAATATGCTGTGATCACACAGCTGCGAACATCCGTTATTTTATCTTCGGGTGCGAACGACCTGTTCTTTCCAAATAATCATTTGTACACGCATGCGCACAAACGTAAACATGTGCGGCGGTCGCTACTAAGAAAAAAAAAACATAACGGCAAATATTTTGTTTATCAACTTGCAACTAGTTTTGTTAAAGGGGAACCGCTCAATCCCATGGATTGCACCGAAGAATCATGGGACACTATTGTTTATGTTGTTTACAACGTTAATCTATCTTTTGTTATCCATTGTTATTTTAATCCAGAAAGTAAATTTGTTGTGAGATAAGGCTTAACTGGAAGGTGCCCTTTTAACACACTGCATTGTGTAAGCCACCGACCACAACAACCTATTAAGGAAGGTACTGGTCCCTGTTCACATGTTTTAATACTGAAAATGTTACTTCACTCTTGTTCAATACATTTGTTTGAAATGGTTTAACAATAATTTCAAGGTTAATATGACTTTTATGTATCTCATTGCGATATGAAGAAAGTATTTCACTAAAGAAACAAGTGCCAAAACGTTTCCATGTTTTCTTGACATTTTGGTCGATTGATTCTCGAAAACCTTGTTCGGTGACTCATGAAGAAGATGACATATAATCTTCCCTCCTTTACCAATTCAATTACTAATTACCATTCTGCGCAGACAGAGGCTTAATGAATTTACGTTGATGCATACTCGTTTCCTTTTTATGTATTTGAAACATATCCATACAAATAAAAACTAAACTAAATAAAAGCCGCTCGGATCGATAAATGTGTGGAGTAGGCAATATTTTCTAATGACCCCAGTAAATTGACATCATTCCGAACAATGACCTTTATGGACTAGTTGTGCTCCAGATACAAATTGAATTTATTCAATATATAAGCCGACGTCTGTATGTGCGAGTGTGACGTTCGGATTGCAAACCATATTGCACATTATATAAATAAGTAATTATATATGTATGTGGGTCAACGCAAAGTAATTGTAGAGCACTGGTTGCCGATATGTTTCTGCCCTCTTGCCACAATGGCATTCAAATTATATTATTATATAATTATGTGACGCCAAACAGACATGTATGAAACTGCAGCGTAACACAATCACGAGGCTATAAGCGTCGGTGAACTGAGTCCCGTGTCTACATTGTACACATCGTATGCATATAAACCTTGCGTGACCTTTTGCTTTCTGATTGTACATTTCAGTAGGGAGAAATTTAATATTACTGAAAACAAATGCAATATAACGTATATATGTAATGTTAGTGTTGTCTCGATATTTCGATGACGACTTTTCAGCTCCGCTATCGACACAGCGGGGCTGTTCATATTACTGTTTGTCCGTCGTCGTCGTCGTCAACTTTACAATTTCAACTTCTTCTTTCAAACCGCAAGTCAGAATGTTTTCAAATTTGATATGCAAGTACCTTGGATGGTTCTTTCTCAGATTTGTTCATTTCATGTCAAAATATCAAATTCTCTATTTTTGGTGAATATTTTTGTCATTTTTGGTAAAAGTGATATTTTCGACTTCTTGTGAAAAACCGCAAGTCCGATTACTTTGATATTGCATATATAGGTACTATATAGGTGGACTTCTCTCAGATTTGTTCATTTCATGGTGATATCTTCAATTCTCTAATTTTGATGAATATTTTTGGTAAAAAGTGATATTTTCGACTTTTTTTAAAAACCACAAGTCCAATTGCTTTGATATTAAATATATAGGTATTACATGTGGACCTCTGTCAGATTTGTTCATTTCGTGGTGATATCTTCAATTATCTAATTTTAATGAATATCTTTACCTCCGCTGTAGTCTTTGTCGAGCAGAGCTTATCATACCATTATCATATATCCATCGTCCGTGTCAATTTTTTACTTTTTCGACTTGAAAACTACAAGCCTGAATGCTTTGATACTTGGTGCATATGCACCTTGGGTAGACCTCTCTTAGATTTGTTCATTTCATGATGATATCTTCAATTCTCTAATTTTAGTGAACATTTTTGTCATTTTAGGTAAAAAGTGATATTTTCGACTTCTTGTTGAAAACCGCAAGTCCAATTGCTTTGATATTACATATATAGGTACTACATGTGGACCTCTCTCAGGTTTTTTTGATTTCGTGATGATATCTTTAATTCTCTAATTTTGATGAATATTTTTGTCGTTTTTGGTGAAAAGTGATATTTTCGACTTCTTGTTGAAAACCACAAGTCTGATTGCTTTGATACTATACATATTGTTCATTTTCTAATGATATCTTCAGTTCTTAATTGAAATGTGCAATGCTAACAGCGGAGCTATCTCAGATGACAGGCTGCTTGTTTAAAATTGAAATATATTCAAATTATTATTGTTTACTTTGCCCGGATAACTTTCGTGTTCTATACGGGTCCCACACGACGTATACAACGACATTGTTTGCACAGCGCGATGATTTTTTCGGAGTTTAGAGCAGGAGGGTCGTCACCTGCGCACGCGCGGGAATTGAGTCCCAAGCGACGATAACAACAAGCTAAAACGCAAAGGATCATGGGTAGACGCTTGTTTGTAGACAATGACATACTATGGCCATCTAACGCATGCGCAGGTCACGACTCCCCCGCTTTAATCATTCTAGCATCTGGCGAACGTTTGGGAGTGAAAGAATTATGTGTGTTAATGAAAGTGTTTGTTCGGAGCATGCTGTCTCAATTTATGACGGATGATTATTTGATGCTATTTTACAGTCTTTTGTCTGCAATCACTGCCATATTCACACGCAAGAAAGTAGAGCCAGCTGATCTGTTTGGGCTACACAAGAAAATACAAGTGGTGCTAAAATCAGAAATCAGTACATTCCTAGGAGAGTATTACAAGGTGAGTTATGATGCTAAATCTCAAAAGGTCTCGTGGTCGTCGCGATGGCGTGTGTGTGTGTGTATGTGCCTCGCTAATGTCTGTTTTATTTTGCAGACGCATCTGATAAAGAAAGGAATGATTATTCTTAGAGACGAGGTTAACAAAACAGGTAATGTATACAATCATGTGATTAGTCTATTTTCATTAGCCGCTAAATCCATTAGTAGGGCGACACCACACAGTACAAGTCGGGTGAAGCCAATGGTAAATCTTAACAATTTTTTTTGTCTATTCATGGCGAAATACATTTTACAGGTCGTGAAAATTGGATCGATTTTTTATACAAAAAAAAATGAAGTTGAAAAATATGACCTCTCGCTAGAGAATTTCTCAAGTCTCCTCCAGATTTTTCCCTCACAACCCACATCTTTCGGGAGGGCTGGTTCCCTATTTTCCCCTTCCAATGCTAGCATTTCATGAAAGCTGTACCCTCTAACCAAAACATGTGTCCTTTTAACGAAATTTTGGGAGTAATCTATTCCCACTCGCAAAAGTGATACAATGCCCATCCCACCTGAAAAATCGCGATTTTTTTCCTTGCAAATCATCCATCAAATCAGACATTTGTTCTCTATCCTCAAACAAATTTCCTTGAAACAGATTTTTTCGATGAACAGTTTCATTGACTGCCCCTGCAGTGTTGGCGCCCTTCTTTCATTGGCATCGTTTTCTGGACACAGACTAACCAATAGGATCTTTTAACTATTACAGTCGAGAAGAAAAATGGAATCATTACTGCCTTGTCTCAACTTTGGACCGAGTTCTATTCTACGATATTACCACAGTTGCAAGCAATTTTTAACCCAGTACAGGTAAGAAAAGAAGCTTGTGCTCTTGACAGCTATTTTGTTTTCGATACACGGACCGGAATATTTGTAATCTAACGTTTTAGACAATATCTGGTGAAATGATGAATAAATAAATGAATGAATAGTTTGTTTAACCATTCTTTGTTCGAAATATCATCTTGATAAAAATCACAGACTAAATTATTTGCAATACATAAATTGGAGTAATTCGACGATACAGTTGACGCGCGCATGCGCGTGTACATTGAATTAAGCATACGTATTCCAAAACACTGTGCCATCAAAAAAAAAAGACCCACAGTTGTATGACGTTTGAGGAGAACGAACTTTGCCCGATGATGACGTCCGTATTTAATGATTTTCGTCTTGCGGGGAAACATAAGAGAAGTTCTTCTTAAAAGGGTGATGGTAGAGTTGTACAGAAATCTGCGATGGAATTTAATGAGTAATTTCTTTGTAGACAAATATCGATTATGTTTAAAGTAGTATTATCTTCTCAAGTTACTTAGTGAAGATTTGCTAACTGGTATGAGTCGTTGCAGCTGAATTTGCAACGTCTTCCAAAGTAATGTACTATCATGCAAAAATCGACAATACGACGTCATACGAATGCTTTATTCCGTAACTGACATCTTCGTGTCGTCATTTTCTACACTACTGTAGTATTTATTTTCACTCGTAATCCTTATTTGGCATAGTCAATGTAAAGTAAACATGGCTGACAAGATTAAGATTAATCGTCCCATGTCTGAAGAGACAAACTTAAAACAAGACATTCCCAGGGGAACCGCTCAATCCCAGGGATTACACCAAATAATCATGGGACACTATTGTTTATGTTGTTTACAAAGTTAGTCTATCTTTTGTTATCCATTGTAATTTTAATCCAGAAAGTAAATTTGTTTTGTGATTAGGCTTAACTGGAAGTGTCCCTTTAAGTATGATCTGTATAAAACCTCTCACTTGTCATTAAGGGTTTGGATTGTGTACAGTTCACGAGAAATCGTATCCAACGGCACCCTGGAATCGAATTTTATAAAATGAGGTAAAGTGGCCTTGGGTGATCAATGAACAGTATTATTAGATTTGGTGATTAAACTCTCTGACATTCAACGATTGCCCGCTTTCAATGTTCTATTTGATTTTCGGCAGTTTTAACGGAGATCACAATAAACACTGAGATATGTTCTGCATACATTACAATATGGGAATACAGTTGAGTAGAAGCGCAGGCACGATCTGAAAAAAAAAAAACTAAGATATTCTTTCATTTGTGACTCTTTTAATGGTAGGATGTAATTTAAAAAAACAAAACAAAACAAAAACATATTGGTCATAAAAACATACATCTTCTTATTTCAGACAACTGATCTTACGATACGGCAGATGACGTTGGTTGGATTCAGAGATTATGTTGTTCTCAACGTGAAGGTCGAAGGTCGGTATTGTCAACTGCATTTCTTTTTCTCAGCGTTCGATTTTGCCTGGAGTTAGCAGTAAATACCCGGATGTTCTCATTCCCGGGAGGCTTCACTATAACTTACCAAATTACATTTGAGATTAAAAGTGACACACATTGTTTATTTCGAAGCAATCTGAGTCTGTCCTGATATAGTATAAACAGCATGTATTCGTTGAAACTCAGTAATTGCATGTAAAATACCTTTTTTTCCTATGTTTTACATACAAATCGTCAACAATCAGTGCAAATAAATTCTATACAAAACGCCCAAAATTCCTTTCAGCGATAATTAATTCCAGCTAAAATAAAGTATTTTACAGTATTGTTTGATCTTATCTATATGGGGAAGTAAATTCTACGAGAACCGCGTGTGGTAATTTCTACTTCCGTCGATGCCATTGTTTAAATCACTTCCGTATACAATGTAATTACTATTGTATTTTTCTTTAAATATATTATTTTCAAACATTGATTTTTTTTTATCTGGCCGAGAACAAGCCTTTGTTCATATTTGATTCATCCTTGATCTCATTACTGAGTCTGCGCGTGATATTCAGATCGATTACGTCACTTGTAGGCTCGTTCGCAGTTTTTCTATAGTCATGCTCGTCTCTACCTGCCAATAGATATAGTTCACAAAATATCGCACTGCGCATTTAGTCAAATGTTATGGTTTCCCAAAGTAGTGGATTTGGTAAAAATACACATCTGCAAGACTATTTCAATAATTACTTCATAAGTGGCTACGAACAAGATTGAATACTCTTGTGACATACTCGGCTAATACCATGTGACACAGCCGTAAATAATCTAGTGGGAACAACAGAGTATCCGCGCAGCGAATTGATTACTGTACTTTACGTATTGATTTATTTTGCATCATTAATTTTTAAAAATCTCAATCACAATAACTTGTATGGCAATGAATTGTATTTGTTTTAAAGATGCTCTTCTTGAGGAAAACGTCGTGATAACCCCCGAGGTCAAACAGATGATGCTGGTGCTTCAACACGTACAGGACACCAAGCCTCCGTCTGAAAACTATCTGAAATTGGAAGAGATGGTTTCCAGAATAATCGATCCCTATATCGGAACACGTGGTCTCTACATTGGCGGTAGACTGAAAGTTAACAGAAAGATTTCTACCGTGACAAGACCTACTCTGTTACAATGGAGCTACTCGTTCACAGGTGAGATTCGATCGGGGCTGCAGCGGCTACATTACCTGTACTTGTAATGCATGTAGCCTGGAATGTACTTTCATGTGCCATGGAGTGTTGATTGTAAGGAAACGATCTGAAAAAACAAATGCGAACGGTGGTTTGCAGCAAAGATCATGTTTTAGTAAACATATATGCCATTCCTATAAATCGCGCCCTCTGGTGGCTGAACACTTTGAACGGCTTCCGTGTCGACGACTTAGAGCAAAAATCAGGGAGGGAGACGACTAGTGTGAAATCTTGCGTTTAGAGTAATTGGAACGTCAACAGTAATATTTATTGCTAGTGTAATATTCATCGAGTCAGTGTGTGATATATCTAGACACTACTCCATTTCGGCTCATTTAATTGAAAATACAAACTGTGTCCCAATTCGAACTGAACTAATTTCCCCTGTACGTCACTTAAGCGCTTCGTCACTAGGTGGCGCAATTTAATAGGCGAGCTAGAAAGAAGGAAGGGAAGAAATGTGTTAAGGTAGCGAGACTATTATTTGTGTTGAAAATTACGATTTTCACATTTATTTATTAATTGATGAAATGCACGATAAACTTTCATCTGACAAAGTCAACGTAACCTAAAATGTCATGTAAGTTGGTTAAAATGTAGATTTTCTGAAGGGAAGCAAGGCAGCTTCAGTAGTGTTTTCTATAATCAACAACACAGGTTTAATTTGTGTGCCTATAAGTTTCAAAGATTAAGACAAAGCAATGTTAGGATGTGTTATCAGTAGCTATCTGACACACAATGAGTGTTTCCAAACATTTGAGTGGTTTGTCTCCGCCCCTGTTTATTTCACAGATTAGTCATTTGCATATGAATGTGTCAGACACAAGGTCACACAGCCACTGAAAAAAAATCATTGATTTTAGTGTTTTCATCTGTCGATTTTATCGAACTATAGCTATCCCATTCCTTTATTTTGTTTTGGTTTTCAATAGCCTTACACATTCGGATGCCCCTACACATGTTAAAACAGGCCTTGATGGGAAAACGAATCGCTTGTGCAGATAAACAAGCTTGAAAATCTTTGCTGTGACTTCATCGACGTTTTCTAGGAGGTTATGTTTGTCAAAATA